ATTTATTAGTAGTTTAATCCATTTATTAGTAGTTTTGTGCTGAAAATTGATACATGTAGATGCAAACCAGGTACATACATATTTGATCAGTCAGTATTGAAATGGTGAAGTGTTGGAATAATATCAATATATTTTTGCTTACTCCATAAACAAGTGAGCAGTGTGAAAGTTATTTAAAAATCATATTTTTTATTCAATTGTTAGTTCATTATTCTGATTGTAACATTTTCCTTAGGTCTGTCTAAACTGTAAACTGAAAAAGTAAAAATGTGTGGCCTAAATACACCTCAGTATACATTGAAAACGTTACAATGACGAGCCACTGCTGACAAGTTAACATCCTTAGTGCCATTGTATATTGTGCATGTCTTAGTACTCCAGAATCAATAATCATATGTTGTATAAATGGATATATTCAATACCAACCACTAGAAATGTAAATATTCCCCTTCGGATAAGAAGCTAAACAAAATACAGGTATATATGCCAAACATTGTATACAATCCATTTCCGTGCTTTCATCTTTTTGATCAATCACCACCTTTCACTTCCAAGAGAATATTCCAAATATTGAGTTTGTTCCGTTTTGTCTCTGCATCTTTATCCAGCACAAAAATCAATAGGGCTGGCTAAAATTATCGATAATCGGAAATATTGTTATAGGAACAATTATTAATGATTATCGATATGAGAATTGTGTTATCAATAATATCGTACATTAACTTCTGCACAAAAGAAAAGTTTTAATTTTCTCACACAATATACAAATTTAGAACTTTATTCATGGTCTGCTTTTATATTATGTTCAGGATGCTGTCTTGTTAGAAGTCAACACAAGATGCTTCAGACACTTTAAGCATTTTTGCTAAAAGTTACATCTCCAATATCTATCGATCCCTATCTGTATCGATAGCCAACCTCAAAAATCAATTATTTTAGCAGCTGTCAATTCATCTTGTATCGCCCATAACTTCTGAGTGACATCTATCACTCTCACTCCACTCTGTCTTCTTGCCATTTTCACTGGAAAATTATGACTTCAATGTATGAACACTTCATCACACTTCAGTGCTCCACACGTCTATTCTCAGCTTTTTGAATATTCAACGTGTTAACTTACACTTAATCATTCTCGTTGGGCATTCATATTTTTCCGTCTTTTAAGCCCTCCATTGTTCTCTCTCCACATCCACAGCAACAAGAATCTTGCACAATATGGATTTAATTGTTAACTATTTTAAAATACCGATCAATAATCGTAACCCTACTCATACAACATCCGAGAAACCTTCACTTTCCATCAATATTGGTTTCCCTTAACACTTGGGCAGTGTCAAGGTATGGATGTCAGATAATAATTTTGTCTCATAATTTTTTACTTTATTTATTCAAAAAGAATCTGCTTGACACTTTGGATGCTCCGAAAAATTAGCACATTGTTCAGTTCATCCTTTGAGCTAAAACATCGATATGTCTTGAAGTTGTGACCAAAGAATATTCTATCACAAATATAAGCCCCAGGACCCCTACTTGCAGAAGATAAAGCACTTGGTCTTGGAGAAAAAGAGGAAATTTCCTTTAGAAAAATACTCTTAACCTATAGCCTGATGAATTTCAAACACTCTTCTTAACCTAGCCTGCAGGGGTGGAAATAACTTTAAATTTATAGTGTACTCCGGTACAGTGGCACACGTAAAATCACTTGCCCTAATAATTTTTCCACTATACCGTCCGTTTTCTTGTTGATTTTTTAAAATAAACAACATCATTAACATTGGAAAGTCAACTGGACACCGGGTACAGTGTGACATACAAATTTGCTTGCCCGACAGAAAAAAACACTGGACTCGGACGTCGGGCAATGGGTTATTTCCACCCCTGAGCCTGCTGACATATTTTATCCTACAACATAATAAACAGGATGGGTGGTCACAGTTTCATCACACAAGGGACAATGAACCAATATTTGGCACATTTATTTCTCATAGAAAATACACAAGCTGTGCATTTATACATAACATACATAATGCCCCGAGATAAGCCTACTTGGAAATCATTTCTTGTTACCCGGTAGTTTAATTCGGGGTGTTTTGCTATTGTCAAATGTTTTGTCAGCATCATGGCGAAGGAGACACTCTGTTGAATCAACTTAACAGTAACACAAAAAAATTTATGTTTTGTTTGTTAAGAAATGGAAAAAAATATTTGAATAAACAACTTCTTTATTACAGTGAGAGCAACGTTTGGTGTAACACATTGTAATAAAGAAGTTGTTCATCCATATATAGTTATCCTTCCTTACTGCTCAATGCCTCTGCCGGGTAAGAATGAACCTTCAGTAACCCATGCTTGTCGTAAGAGGCGACTAACGGGATCGGGTGGTTAGGCTCGCTGGCTTGGTTGACACATGTCATTGTTTCCCAATTGCATAGATCGATGCTCATGCTGTTGATCACTGGATTGTCTGGTCCAGACTCAATTATTTACAGACCGCTGCCATATAGCTGGAATATTGCTAAGTGTGGCGTAAAACTCACTCACTCACTCTCAATGCCTCTCAAAGAAGTTGTTTGTTTGTTGTTTAATACCAGATTATGTAATATTCCAGCTGAGTGAAGGTAGTCTGTAAGTAATCAAGTCTTGAATAAATCCAGTGATTTTTTTCATGGGACAGAAGGTGAGATAGTGTCATGTGGATAAATACAATCTACAAGATATGCAGATTATATTACCTTTTTATGATCAAATCCTACTGCTAGTTGTGAGGTGACAATGAGCTTTTGTCTGAACACTCACTGATTGGCAGAGACATGGAATCCACTGATCTATCTATATCCCAGCAGGTAAACAAGGCCCTCATGATTGTAATTTACACCTGAATGGGCACTTATGTATACTGTTGACAGAGCAGAAATGGAATTTGTTTGTAATTACCTGAGAGACTATAGACACTATGTGATATAGAATGTTATCACTCCAAACAAGTGGAATGTTATATTACCATGGTTCCATTTGTCAGAAAGGAAAGCATTACTAAGTTTTCATTCCACAAAAATGTAATAAAAAATATACTGCAGGGGTTCAAAAATCCCATCGCCCGACAGCCGGGACAAGTAAGTTTTCATTTCGGGCAATCAAATAATGGTATCTTACTTGTACGTGGGCTACTAGATAATTTCCACTTATGGTTTCAAACTGCAAATAAACTTTGATTTAATTTCATATCTGCTCAAAATGTAGCTATTAAATTTCGCAATGATAATAAAGTAGAGTTATCTTTCTTTGCTATTTATCACTTTTCAATAAAAAGTCCAGTAAACATTAACATCAAATACGATGTTGATTTCTTCTTTCATAATGACATCATCATAATTATGTCATAAAAACAGGGCAAGTGGAAAATTAGTCAGGACAAGTTACTTTCTTAAGGTCATTTTCCCTGTGGCAAGTGGCTTTTAAAAAAATTTGAACCCCTGTACTGCTTGCACCAATTTAAGTGACACTGCAATCATCAGTATTCAGCTACAAGGGCAAAAGGGTCGCCTGGTGCTGAAACCGTTCACTTGTCATCCTGAATGCCGCCATGTCATATGGACCTGTGACTGTCAATCATTGTGAACTTCAAACATCAATGTCCAGTGTAAGGAGCTTATACAATCTCTATATTCCATGGGTGAGACCAATGTACAGTCAAAGTGTATTCACAAGAGATTTCACATTTTTGACAAAAATATGATCAATATAATAATCATTTGAACTTATTTTAACCCATGCCTTCCTCAAATTCAAAGGCATTGTTTTCTCAAAGGCACCAAATATGCCACAATATGATCTGAATAATCATTATGAGACCTTTCCCATTTCCACCACCCGACCTAACACGATCTGATAAATGCCTTGAGAACAACGTGCATGAATTATAGATACATATACCACATGCACATGGCAACTAATGATATTTGAAATGTATATCCCACATGTACAGATACTGTTACAACATGACAAGGATGATATTATAGATATAACACATAAGGATGTCATGTTGATGATGCTATGATATGATACAACATAATGGCATGTCTTTATGATGAAGTTGTGTTTAATAAGTTAGTACGTACAGAGTTTTACAGCTGTTTAAGTGTTTGCAAGAAAACTAGAATTCTTTCAGAAGCATCTGAAAACCCATAATATGTTTTTCGCAAATTATGGCTTCTGATTGGCAAACACTACATCCAATGTCAAGGTCAGACACCTGCCTCTGATCTCTATGGTGGTCAATATTACAAGCTTGATTAAATTCAATGTTTTAGTAATCCACTCAGTTAGGTCAATGCTGTAACTCACCATGGCTGTTTGATTACACAACAATATTGTTGGGAGTGTTAATCCTTCATTCTTGGTATATAACATAAAATATACCATAAAAATATGTTCATAAACACACAGATAGAATATATTCAAAATTAAAATTGTTTGGATATCTGTGTCGCAAATTTTCTGAGGCCTGTGATGGGATTCAAACGCTGAACCGGTGCGAAATAGTTCCAAATTATGCTAGCCAGTCAGGCTAGCTATACCTGAAAGTTACTAGCCCACAAAATAATTCACTAACCCGAAATTTGAATGTAGAAACTAAGCAAAAGATTACAAAAATAGATGAGAATAAGATATTGTCAGCATGACACATGTTCCATCATTAAGCTGCTAATATGATGAACATTTTCATCAGGCCAAAATCTTGCATGATTGAAAAGTTTATCATAACTTAACAAGTCGGAGAGAGTGATATATTTACAAAATGACCCCATGAAAATTCACTAACCAGTCAGGCCAGTGACTGTGGAGCCACAGGTTAACGGTCCAGTGGCCTGAACTACCTGATCCGAGTCACAGACGTTTCTTCACACCAGAAAGCTATTGATGTCATCTATGGTAGCTATGCATAAAGTGGTACACTGATCAAAGATACACTGAATCCAAGGCAGCGTTACAATACTGACCTTCCAAAGTACAAACTTGAGCAGGGCGCTTATTTCCGGTCATATGTTGTCAAAAAGCTGCTCTGAAACACAAGCAAACACTTATTGGAATTAATCTATAAATGGTTGTGTGTACAAGTTACCTTGTCCTGTAACCCGTGAAGATCTGGGTTATATTTAGTCTTCAGCAACCCATGCTTGTCGTAAGAGGCGACTAACAGGATCGGGTGGTCAGACTCGCTGACTTGGTTGACACATGTCATCGTATCCCAATTGTGTAGATCGATGCTCATGCTATTGATCACTGGATTGTCTGGTCCTTATGTGACTTGTTTACAGACCGCTGCCAAATAGCTGGAATATTGCTCAGTGTGGCGTTAAACAACAAACAAACCCTTGTCCCATAGGTGAATTATATGATTCTGGGTTTGAATCCAAGGTTCAACCTGTGTACCATTATTGGTTTGCCAGCACCAGCATGTGGGATACAATGGGGAGATAACTCAAGGTGTTGTGAGGAAATTTGATTTATTTGTTTTATTAGTGTCAAATTTAAGATAAGCTTGTCTACACAATAAAAAATGTGGCCTGAAAAATCAGACAAATCAGACCAAGCTTCCAAAACACCATGCAGTTTACCCTGATATTTTTAAACCTATTTCAGACTAGTTATCAACATGATCATCAATGGGATTGACTCAAGAAAAAATGTTAAAAAGATTAAAAACCAGGCAAATATACAACTGTCAAAGACTGCAAATTAATTGCACAAAGAGTCATTGTAAACACTACCGACATAAACATCAAGCTGTTTGATTGAAGTTTTCATATCAAGATATCCCTAACACCGGCAGAGATTTTCTTATCTATCAATCAATGAAATCAATGCCATTTGATTTATGCTGATCTGACTGTATCACCCCAGGGTTACCAAGAACAAGGCTAACTAAGGGGGCATGTCATAAGACTTTGTAGTATCTAAACATGCTTCACAGTTAACTGTTCAGGGTTAATTTTAATAATAACTAAATTCCTTTATCAGCATATATTATTCAACAAGGCAAATACTTGCTGCCTGATAAAGAAGGACATATGTAAACATACAATACATATATTTTTGTTAATGATTCATAAACCTTTTGAAACTGTCCCTGATCTAAATGAATACGCACAGACATGCTGAAGGCAATAGTACGAAGTCACTCAAGTACAATTGGGACTTGTGTGGAAAAGAGAATGTGCATACATGCTGGTACATAATACCTTATTTCAAGCGCTTTTATCTGATATAACACTGACGCTTTTTTCGACAGTTTGTTATATCATGTTTCTGTGAAGATCTGGGTTAGAATTGGTCTTCAGCAACCCTTGCTTGTTGTAAGAGGCAACTAAACAGACAGGGAGCTCTGGCTTACTGACTTGGTCGATGGATGTCCTTGTATCCCAGATACGTAGATCGATGCTCATGGCATCAGTCATTGGATTGTCTGATTCAGACTTGATCATTTACAGATCACCGCCAAACAGCATTAATATTGGTGAGTGAGTGAGTTTAGTTTTACGCCACACTCAGCAATATTCCAGCTATATGGCGGCGGTCTGTAAATAATTGAGTCTGGACCAGACAATCCAGTGATCAACAGCATGAGCATCGATCTGCGTAATTGGGAACCGATGACATGTGTCAACCAAGTCAGCAAGCCTGACCACCCGATCCCGTTAGTCGCCTCTTACGACAAGCATAGTCGCCTTTGTGGCAAGCATGGGTTGCTGAAGACCTATTCTACCCAGGATCTTCACGGGTCTAATATTGGTGAGTGTAAACACAACCAACTTTCACACCATAAGAATGGGGATCGCTGGCTTAGCAGGTCCTGAAAAACTAAGTTTATCAATATATGGACGAACAATTTCTTAACTACAGTAAGAGCGATGTTTCCGAGTAGGTTCTAACACCATTATCAAGCAAGTTATAGAACCTACAATGAAACATTGCTCTCACTGTAATAAAAAAGGTGTTCAACCATATATTGTTATCCTTAGTGCTCCAACTTCTACATGCTGAGAGGCTGTTGTAAAACTGACATAGACGGATCAAGTGATAAATCTCTGTTACCCATGGCATTGTTCCATGCATGCAGAGGTACAGTGAAGCTGCGTATCTGCAAATTACAATATATTTATGTGAAAACTCAATTCCTATTAAGTCTATTGCGTGTACAAGTACGCTTGAATTTTTTTAAATACTCGATAAATTTGATCTTACATGCGTACACACAAAAATGTCAAATCTTAGCTTGTGTACCAGTGGATATATAAAATAACTGAGGTATATTGAGAGGTTCTATTTCAGCACATGAACTTGACAACTTGCAGTCTTTCTTATCATTTCTCATTTTACAGATCAATATAAATAACAAATACGTAAACCAACATATAAATTTTATTATATTTTTACAATTAATGGCAAAATACCCAATTGAGTTTGAGTAAGGTGGGTACAATTTATTTGGTTACTCAAAGGAAAATTAGGATACCCAGTTGAGATGAACACAAGCGAGTACATAACTCAATGACCCCAAAAGTTATCTGTAGCTCTGTGCATGTGTTTTCCAGTTTTGGTTTGCCTGTTATAGACTTTAGAATCCGCTGCAATGAAGATGGAATATTGCCCCTGTGTTATAAAATAACATGCATTCATTTACTCATTTAGATCGATGCTCAACCATTTGAGCAGCAAGTCAGGCCTACTGACTTGGTTGACACATGTCACCATATCCCATTTGCATAGATCAATGCTCATGCTGTTGATCACTGGATTGTCTGTTCCAGACTCAATTATTTACATACCGCTGCTCATAGCTGGAATATCGCTGAGTGCGGCATTAAACAACCAACCAACATTAACTTAACACACACAAATGAAGTTTATCATCACGTTTATTTATACATAGCTCACATGGGAACTTAGTCACCATGGTTATTCATATTGCTTGACATGCAATTCATCCATCATGTTTATTCATACACACTTCACATAGATTTCATCCATCATTATACAAATCAATGCCTATTCAAAACAAATTGTCTCCCCTTTAATAAGACACCAAACTGCTTCTACCTAATCCCAACCCTGCCAATCAAATCCAATACAGATGAGTCATAGAAACTGGATTTGTGTGGGACCAAATGTTTTGACTGGTGTTGACAGTGGTTTTGATTACGGACATTTTAGCTGGAGCTGTGCCTCTTAATATTAACACAAACACAGAAATGTAATCAGTTAAAACTGGGATTCACCCCAAATCATTAAGGGACATAACTCTCACCAACTGATTTTCTTAAGAGTTTGAGATTTAATTGGGAAAATAAATGAAATTTTGTCCTTTAGATAATAACTTGAATCAGGCACTTCTTACTTCTTTTTGACTATAATAAAAATGCACCAAACTTTATTTCAGATAGTTCAAGTGTTTTATTATTTTTACTGTCTAGGGTATGTAAAACATTACTTATATTCTTTTTCCAAAAGGAAACCAAGTGAAATCTTTTTTTTATAGAATCACATTGTGCGATTGCCAGTTGTAACCTGATTGTCACCAAGACTGACTTTTCCTGTTCAAGGGATTAACATTATCAAGCACTAAACCTGAAAGAACTGTTTACATGCATGAGCAGGCATCTCATTTATAACTACTTAAGAGAAATTGGTCTGTATCATAAATTGTAACTATGTATGTGTATGACAAATTGCCTGGGTTTTTTTCAATTTGGTGTTATGTTGTTTTGTACTTGTAAATAATATAGTAATGATGAAACATGTATTTAAAGAAATTCCTTTTAACTTTGCACTTAAAATGGACTTGCATATATTTGCAGACTTGGTCTCATCGCTATATTGATGAAATACAGCACAATTAAACCAGTTTTACATACACATGTAAACCATTACATGTATAATAAACAATATTTTACCTTCATATATTGCTTGGAAGCTTATCTGGGAAATGGTTTGTAAAACAAACACATTAATGTTTATCTGTATTTTCAGTGTGGTCATATTCAGAGCTCATTGCAATATGAGTAAGTTAGGGATGCACACGGAAAGACTGTTCAAGACTGAACTAACACTGCCAATTAGACATAAGGCTAGTTACCCTCTAGACACAGTAACAGTATTTCCAAAAAGTAATACCATCCGACAAATGACTAAATGCCATACCTGGTGGTATTTGAAAATTTTGTTGAGCTGTGTCTTGGTCAGTTGTAGTACTTCCTGATCTAACTCGGCAGCATCCAGCTGAAACAGAATATTGTTGTCCTGAGATAATAAACACGTTTGCTGGTTTATATCTCGTGTTACACAGAATTGTAATCACAACCTCACCATTGTTTGTACATAGCTGGGGAGGTAGACTAAATTAGGGATATCAGCTGAGTAGGAATGAAATTTGATTGTAAGTGCAACGAAAGCGACAGTCAGTAATAGTAAACTAACCAGGAGATCTACATCAGAATTATTCTGATTTGTTCTTTAATGATCAAGCTTCCTTTTAATGACAATGCCAATACCTGTCAAGGCAAACTCAGGATGAAAACCCAACTTACCTGGCTTACTCTTAGTGCTGGCACACGCCCATCCACGTTTTCCGCCATTTTGTTTGTTTATAAGAGATCTTCTGGAACGAGCACTATGATTGGTGAATAAATCAAGCTTTGTGTGTAAGCTATTTTGATTGGATAAAACAACTTTTACTTCCAAGACCACTAATGTTATTTTGACTTTTACTCGATTCAGGCAGCAAATCTAAACTCATTAGTCAGGATACAATATGCACAATTGCCAACGAAATGCCTTTGAAAGATTATTTGTTTAATACAGGAATTGACCTTGAAGCATTGGCTTGACGACAGTGGCGGCTAATCGCATTATATATCGCTAATCCATCCGACGTATTCATAATGTATGCTGGTTGTTAAGAGAGTCGAATCTTGCTAACGATATTGCTATCAACCAATAGAATCTCATATTAGAGAAATTGGGATTCCACTTAGGCCAATTATAACCTTTCTTTCATCCGTCCTTAGACTGGCGGGGGGATTAGAATGTAAACACAAGTTACGACCAGCTGTTTAGCCATGTATATAAATTTGATTTGATAAGACCGAAGCTATTAAGGTCCTTGTGATCAGTCAACAGCACTCCGTCCGCTGCAGGAAAGGATTGTATTTTCGATAAGGTAAGGGCAGGGATCGTGTAGATTAACCTTGCAAGCGTAACTGTCAGTGTCAAATATTTTGAAAAATATGATTATGAATATTTTATTACGATCGGATTAAATAATATTCAACGTCTTTCTCAAACTTTGCTAATTTGGTGTACCATTACTATTCTTTTCTTATTCATTATTAAGGTTTATAACATAAATCTGTAAAATATCACAACTGCCAGCATATGTCATAACAGATGTGCTTGGGTGACAAGTGACTAAAACTTCAAGCATCTTTACTTTAACAAGAAAGATTTTAATGGGAGCTGAGTATCCATTGACAAGAATACAGAAATGCAGAAATATCATTCAGTATATGGTAGCCAGCATTATTCAAAATATATATTGACATATATTTAGATTTAGCTAACTCTGAACAAATATTCTATATCCAAAAGTGGTTCATGAAAAAAAGAAATACCAATCTGCTATACCTTGATAAGGCTCCAACATGTCTCAACACATGAAACTGAGTATTGCTCACCACAGTCTAATGTCATTCTTTCAAGGGTATTAAGTTATATGAGATATACATATTATTCTTTTTGTAGTATTCAAAATAATCTTATTTTAACATTAAAGTTCTTGCAGTTCAATCCATTTTGCATGTTTGAGGCTATATTTACATATAGGACTCCAATATTTACATCTCTAGCATGCTGAGTCACCTCTATTCAGCAGTACCTTACAACCAAAAGGATCTGTCAGCTTGACATTTCTTATTTAAACATCAAATGTCTCTTCCTAGTGGATTCAATTTTTGTTTCATTTTTAAACTCTTTAATGTTTTATTGAAGATGTTCTTATTACTTGATTATGAGGTCTACAAACCTAAACATCCTCAAAGTGGGGCAAAATATAGAATAAAAATTATAAGCATTTTTATTAATGCAGAGCCTTTTGCTTAACTAGGATATCTCAATACACCTAGTATTCATTATTACCTTTTCTCTGATATTTCACTTCAGATATCAGTTCAACAAGCCACAACCTGTGAATTACACCAGATTTGACTTACCATAGTCGCTGTAATAAATGTGTCTTCCTGTGAGTAATCTTCGTCAGAGGTTGAAAATTTAATGAGAATCTGTTTCATGTGTATATGACAAAACAGAATTATGTGAAAGAGGATATATAACCGGTGGTTAACAGGGGTGGAAATAACTTTAAAATTGCTAGTGTACTCTGGTACAGTGGCACATGTAAAATCACTTGCCCTGATAATTTTTCCACTGTACCGTCCGTTTTCTTGTTGATTTTTTAAATAAACAACATAATTAACATTGGAAAGTCAACTGAACACCGGTACAGTGTGATATACAAATTTGCTTGCCTGACAGAAAAAACCACTGGACTCGGACGTTGGGCAATGGGTTATTTCCACCCCTGGGTTGAAGTGTTCGCTTGTCATACTGAAGACCCGAGTTCAATGGGTACAATGTGTGAAGCCCATTTCTGGTGTCCCCTGCCATGATACTGCTGGAATATTGCGAAAAGCAGCATGAAACCAAACTCACTCACTCACTTTCAATACCAAATTTCTCACTCCAATTTTCTAATCACCCAGGGTGCTTTTTACAGCAATTATGGTACCATGTATTATCTACGTGTTTGTTTAAGTGCCTGTTCCAGTACTGAGTACATGAGATCTAATGTTGACATTAAATTGTTTAAACAAACTCTTGTCAGGCTGATTAAAGTTTCTGTCAATAATGTGTGAAGCCCATTTCTGGTGTCCCCCCGCCGTGATGTTGCTGGAATATTGCTAAAAGCAGCATAAAACCGAACTCAGTGAGTCAGTCCTGTCAATAATAGAAGCATATAGCGAGACAGCCAAGTGGTTAAAGTGTTTGCTCATCATACCAAAGGCAGGGTTTGATTCCAAACCTTGTAAATTATCCATTTCTGGTATCCACCTCTGTGATATTCCTGGAATATTGTTAAAAGCTGTGTAAAACTTTACTCCCTCACTCCTGTCACTAGTATGGACAACGTCCCCCAGTATGGCTAGTTGTACACCATGAAGCATCTTGCAGCGTTGCCAAGCAACCGCCTCCATTACTGTCTCTCGCCTCGTGGGAAGTAAACTACTGTGAACTGACGACCGAGTTTGTTGATGTCTCCCGGTTCTTGTGAGTGTCGGTCATGTTTCTGAGTCATTGGTATGTTTCACCCATGCTAAACAAAATTGGGAAATCTTGGGAATTAATTCAGTTTCGATCAGGCTGAGTGATTTTATTTTTGCTGATTTGAATTTTAAGACTACATTTTAACATTAACCACTTCAGGAGGTGAGTCCTTTGGATCCCCTACAAACAGAAGTGAGTGAATGTTGTTTAATGCCTTGTAATATTCAAGGTGTGTCACAGAGGCCGGTGTACTTGATGAAACATTGCTGAGACAAATAGATGACTGAAATCATGAGCATCAATCTGCATCGTTTTGGGTATGGAGACAGGATCAGGCAAGACGGGCGGGTTAGCCGAGTGGTTGAAGCTTTTGCTCATCACGCCGAAGACCGGGTTCGATTCCCCACATGGGTACAATGTGTGAAGCCCATTTCTGGTGTCCCCCACTGTGATATTGCTGGAATGTTGCTAAAAGCGGTGTAAAACTAAATTCACTTGCTCACTCAGGCAAGACACCTTACCTGACCACCTGATCCTCATTATTTGTCTGTTACCATGGTTACAACAGACATGTTATTCCTTAGAATAATATGCAGCACTATTATTGTACACACCGCATATAAAATATATTTGTCATAAAAACTGGCTTCCACAGGAGATTGGTTGGGTGAGATCAATGAAATGCATCACAATGCTTTGCAGGCCATTGTGACATCATCAGTAACAACGACAGACTTCACTAATCTTTATGCCACCGAAGCTTGTTAGCTATATGTTTTACATTCAAGACACAATCACAATGATTATGACTGTTAACAAACTGAAAAGTTTGGAAGAATGATTTTCAATCATAAGTAGAATCTCACCCAAGAGACTTTTGAGAGCGTCTTTTCACCGTCTTTTAATTACTAGTATATATCAACATAATATCGATACAAGTCCTAACCTCTGAGGCTATGTCCAGTTCAGAGGACTGTTATACAAAGCAACCTTTTTTCTACAACTTTCGTAAGTTTTTGTTCAGGTTCGAATCCACACATGGGTACCATGTGTGAAGCCCATTTCTGGTGTTCCCCGCAGAGATGTTGCTGGAATATTGCTAAAAGCGGCGTCAAACCAAACTCCGTCAGTCTTTGTTAAGGTTTGGCCGTTACAGTCACCTTTGTGCTAAGATGACGTTGTACTCTGGCACATTGTCCAGTAGGCAATATGGTCACAAAGTGTAATAATTCAAAACAAACCCATCTTTTTTCTTAGACATTTGCTCATTTCACAACAAGAATGATATTCTTCAAAAGACACATTTGACAAGATATAGTGACTGTTTGAGTGCTCAAATAATACCCAGGTTCAGATATTAATCCAGTCACTGATAACATTCAAGATCTGGATAAACAGTGTGATTAGTATACAGATCAGTGTATATATCAGAGTGTATATACAGTCATTTGTCACTGTCAGAGTGCCAGCAGTAACTTCTTTGAGTGGCATTTTAGAAGTTGGGAAGTACAATATAGAACAAACTTTATGGATTACAACTTCTTTTTATGCTTGACAACGGTACAAGAATCTGTATCGAAACGTCACACTCATGAATAAAAAGAAGTTTTAATCCATAAAGTTTGTTCTATAGTGCCAGCAGTAGACTGAGACTTCATGTCATATACTGATTCACGTTCAAACAAACACTGGATTAAACAGGTGTGTGCTGAAAAACAGCCATTGTAGGCAGTTATGAAGATATATTATTTAGAGTACTACTGTAGCATTATATTTAGAATTATCTGTGGAATGCAAAATTAAATATTCATGAAAGTAAAACTTATTGCTGTCAATAAGGTCATCTACTGCATGATCAATGATACCAGTTTTCAGAAACTCACGTTTAGTTGACAGTTTGAAGAATATTAGGTGAGGTGAGGTGAAATTGGGTTTTCACGTGGTGCTTGAGAATATTTCGCTCATATGACGACGTGCATGCGTGTGTATGTGTATGTGCGGCTGCTTGTACTAGCCCAGACTTAAGCTGGTTTTATAGTGCTAGCCCACTGAGATACCATGCCGCAGTGAAGCATGAATACCCCACTCAGACACATTATACTGACTCAGAGCCGACCAGTCCTTGTTGTACCCATTAATGCCGAGCACCAGGCAGGGACCAACAAGTACCATATTTGAAGAATATTAGGCCATTTTAAACTTTCCAAATATTTAAAAAAATATGTTTGAGGCAGATCTTCCCAGTTGTGGTGGTGGCGGCATATGATCATGTGCACAGGTCACAAATTACGTAATACTAAG